CTGCATGTATCACTTATCTCACACACTTTCGTTTTCTTTTATTTCTTATTATATATATATATATATATATATATATATATATATATATATATATATATATATATGTATGTATGTATATATATATATATATATGAGAGTGTGGTTGAGTTGCCTATCACATAAGGGATATTATCCCTAACTTGAGCCAAAATTCATAATCTAAGTTCGAAAGTTATTGGTTCCTCATATCTATCTAGCTATGTTTATCTATCCATCAGTAATTTTTCATATCTGTCTATCCTTCTATCAATTTATAACATTTTATATCTATCTATTTAAATGTTCATATCTATCTATCTATCTATCTGTCTGGCTGTCTGTCTCAATCTTTTCATATCTACCTATCTATCCATGTAACTCTCAGTTCCTTCGTATCTATCGATCTATCTATCTATCTGGCTTTCTGTATCAGTCTGTTCATATCTATCTATCTATCTATCTATCTATCTATCTATCTCTCTCCTCTCTCTCTCTCTCTCTCTCTCTATATATATATATATATATATATATATATATATATATATATATATATATGTTCGTGTCTGTCTCAGTCTTTTCATATCTCCCAGTATTTGGTGTTCGTCTCTCAAATATCTTGAGGCTCATTCAAGTAGTCCCCTCTAGTACTGGGAGAGGACAATTAAATTTAGCGTCAAGCTATTTGTTGACGAACATTGAATAGATAGATAGATAGAGAGATAGATAGATTAACAAAATGTGATAGACATCTATGAATAAAGTGTGATAGAGATGTTAAAGTTATGTGCACAGAATGAGATAGATAGATATTAGTTGGTGCAAAAATAATGACGTAATAATGTCGTTTTTTGACGTGTGTTTAACGTCAAAAAACGACATTAATACGTCATTATTCTTGCACCAACCTAATAGATAGATAGATAGATAGATAGATAGATAGATAGATAGATAGATAGATGGATGGTGCGAGGATAAATTGCCGTTTAAATTACCCAAAAAATTAATCAATATTGACAACACATCTTAACAGACATATTTACCAAAATTACACAAAAAACAATAATAAATATATATATATATATATATATATATATATATATATATATATATATATGTGTGTGTGTGTGTGAAAAGTATATATAAATATAAATAAATATATATATGTATAATTATTTATATATTATAAGCGTGGTTATTAGAAAGCGCTCAATATCAGAGATAGAGCTAATATATTTGGTTGGATAGATGTGAGTTTGTGACCTGGGTTTCACGCTTTTGCGATCGTCAGACGATCGCAAAAGCGTGAAACCCAGGGTCACAAACTCACATCTATCCAACTAAAAATATATATATATATATATATATATATATATATATATATATATAGAGAGAGAGAGAGAGAGAGAGAGAGAGAGAAAGAAAGATGAATAGCTAAATATATAGATCGAAAGGAAAGCTTTGCAAAGTCGGATAGAAGCAAAACTTGAAACAACTGTAAGAAAATCATTATTAAGGCATTTTTATTACTCCTTTTCTTCCGCAATTTCTCTTCACCTCTATCAGTACAGAGATGCGACTTTAAATAAGTCCAGAGGATTTATTTATTTTTTTATTAGGGGAACTTTGTGAAAATCCGAATAACGTGTTATCCAAAAGCACCACATCTACCGAGTATAATTTGGCCACATACATTTCTCTGATCATCAAGGAATGATACAGTTTATACATTATCATAATTTGCTAATCATTTCACTCCTACTAAAGAACGGCGAAATAGACCCTGGCATTACTAAGAGTTTAGTTATTAGATAGGGTAAAAAACAAACAGGATCAGAGTGAAACATAAATTGACGATTTACTTTGAAATTAAAATTTTTAATGTCAGATATGTAAGAAGCTGGAAGAGAGTTCCAAAGGTGATAAATACAAATGAAAAAAAAAAAAACATTAGAATATATGTTAGAAGAAGTCGGTATTTATTTTGAAAACAAAATACAAATATATCAAACAAGGTCGAAGGACGGATATGAGAAGGAACTGAGAAAAATTATACTGAGAGGTTCCTAGCCCTGGGGAACAGCTGCCCGGGGCCGCGACTTCTCATTGCACCAGAGAGAGCGATCGGTGCTCGCACGGAGGCCAGGGCAAAGGACTGTTGCGCTGGGAGTGTGAGGGAAATTTTTGTTACTAGCCCGGGTGTATTCGCTCAGGCTCCTCACTTTAAAAATTGACCTCACAACTCGTCTTAGTGGGGAGACAGATTAAATACCTAGTGTGTAAATTACGATAAAGAGGTGATGGGGAAAGGCTAGTTTTCAATCTCTCCTAAACTTTACTAACAACGATTACTAACCCAAAATACCACAATATCCCTTACTTCAAAACTACACATTCTTACTTACCATTCTTACTACAGCCACCATAATACCTCAAAGTCTCTATGAAGTCTTAACTTGTTCCCATACGTACAATTTGTCTCTCTGGGGTGGGGAATAAAATGATAACTTTTAAAAATGAACCCCAATGAATACAATTTATTTAAAGAAAGTAACCAAATGTTAGTAGCACCCTTCCAATCACGATCCTTAATTACGAAAGAAAAATCAGTTAACTGGATAAAATTAATACGGGGCGAGGCCAGTCAGTTATGTGCCATGCGTGATACACGCTTAGGCGATCATGTACCTTTCAATACATGACTGACAAGGAAGACTTTTTTCCCGCAGTAGGTTGCTATTTCTTCCTGCGGTATACCAGTTGCCATCCAAGGCTATAGAACCCAGTCTGAAGAATGTATATAGTGGAATAATTACAGTACATCATCTCAGAAATATATAGGAAGATATAGAAGAAGGCCGGAGCGTACAACGGTCTAAACGTCGTGAATATGGCAAAGAAGATGAGGACAACAGTCCGAACAATGTAAATAGTGTAAATAATTACAATACCTCATCTCAGAAATATAGACAGATATAGAAGAAGGCCGGAGCCTACAACGGTCTAAACGTTGTGAATATGGCAACGAAGATGAGGACAACAATCCGAACAATGTAAATAGTGTAAATAATTACAATACCTTATTTCAGAAATATAGACAGATATTGAGTAATATTTCTTGGAAAAATTGGTAGAGTATTTTGATTTTTTTTTTTATTCAAGATCATTCTTATCCCAATTATGTATAGCTATGTCATCAGCAGAAACCTCCACATTTTATGTACATTTTCCTCTGGACGTGGGAGCAAATAGAGAGAGAAAATTTTACGCATTATGGTAAAAGCGAGTAAGGAACAGGGAACAACCATAGTAGATAAACTAGCCATAGAAATAACAGTCTACAAGAGCAATTGAATAACCGCTTTTCTACGAGAAAACAATTTTCCAGATATTTGCCCCAAAATGAACTGGGCAAAAATAGAAGGAATTTGTTAGCATATGAGACAATGAAAGATGTGTATATATTATTGAAGCATTCAGTAGCACCTCTCTGAATCATCAGTTATAACTGATTTAGTATAGGTGAATATTGAATATTATATTGAATACAGAATAGGCTACGTCAGAGATAATTTCATCCAGCAACAAATTCCTACAAAACTAAAACATTAAACTGAAAACTAAAAGATTAATGGACATTATATTAATTAGACTGTCATCATTTTCTGAAAGAAAGGAAATTGTATACCTGATTTGTCAACCTCACTGCAATGCATTGATATAGATTTCCGTTTCTGCTACATTAGAAACTGCCTTCCAAATTCCAAACCCACAGAATGCATCAATCTAATAGAGGAATTGTATCAGTCTACAAAATCTTACATGTCTGGTGATGACCCCAATATAAAAACATTTCAAAGCTCATTAGGAGTACAAGATAGAAATGAGAGCCCATTCATTTAATCTTTTCCTAGACTATACCCTGCACATTTACAGACATAGATGTGAAGAGGCACTGAGCATTTAAACATTCTATACTACATCCCAAACAAATCAACCAATAGAAATCAACAATCTTGCTTTCTCTTCTGAGGCTAATGTACTGATGGTTTGGTTTGGTTTGGTTTGTTTTACGGCATATCAACCTCATTGGGTTATTTAATGCCAACAACTTTTTTTTTTTCTGGTAATATTTTTGTTTTCTCAAAAATCTATTTCTGTTAATATTTTTTTCCTCAAAAATGTATAACTGGTAATATTTTTTCAAAAATGTATAGCTAGTAATATATTTTTTTCTTCAAAAATTTATTTCTGGTAATAATTTTTTACAAAGTATTTCTGGTATTTAAACCTTTTTTTTACACTTTTATAATTCTTTTTACCTCAGTCTCAGTATTAACTATTCGCCCATAGCTGGGACCCTAACAAGTGCTACCACCCCGGATCAGGGTGGACACTAGGAACACCAGCAATTAAGAAGTGGTTCCACGTAATGTACTGATGATGGGGGTGCTGATGATATATGTATTCATAGTTAGGATAAGAATGATTTTGAACAAAACAAAAAAAGTCAATATCCTGTCCCAAGTTTTCAAAGAAATAAAACTCCAGGTAAAACTTTTCAAAACAGAAACTATGATATGATTGGAATGAAAGCAGTGATGGCACCTATTTTGAATGCATCATAAAAATTCAGGGTGTGAGTTTAGTAAATATTAAACACTTCAAATATTTTGGCATATGATCAATTATAACTGATTTAGTATAGATGAATATTAAATATTACATTGAATACAGAATAGGTTGTGCTGGTGGTAGTTTCATCCAACAACAAATTCCTACAAACCAAAACATTAACCTGAAAACTAAAGTCATGTTCTTAAATAGTCTCATCAGATCAAGATTTTCTTATGAATGCAATGAATGGCACCAAACCGAGGCAGAAATATTTAAACTGCTAGCTTTATACAACCGCTTTCTAAAATCACTGTGTAAAAATGGCTTCGAGTGAGTGCACTTGTAGGTCATTTTGAAGACCAAATTTCTTCGAACTCAGTATATTGGTGCTACAAAACCACAAACGAAGAATTGTACCAAATAAGAGAAACCACATCTTTGGAGGACTATGAACAGTAGGACTGACGATGAATGAATCTTGCTATGCTGATGAGGGGCTATGCTGATGAGATACAAAAGTTCCAAGAAATCTCAAGATAAATATCAAGGATGGAAATTCAACAGAGACTTCTTCCTCTTGTCTAATAAAGGAATATCAATCTACAAAATCTTTTAATCTTTATCTAGACTATCCCCTGCACATATACAAGCACATATATAAAGAGATGGGCACTGATCATTTAAGTATTCCATACCACATCCAAACAAATCTATCAACAAAGACAATCCTGCTTTCCTTCTCAAGGCCAATGTATTGATAATGAGGGGGCTATGCTAATGACATAGGTATTCATAGTTGGGATAAGAATTGAACAGAAAATCAACATCCTCCATCAAATGTTCCAAGAAATAGGACTCAAGATAAATCTTTCCAAAATAGAAACTATGATCCAGAATTGGAATAGAAGCAGTGATGGCAACTAATCTGAATCCATCATAAAAATCCAGGATGTGGAATTAGTAAATACTAAACACTTCAAATGCCTCAGCTTATGGATCAGTTATAACAAATTTAATATAGGAGAAAAGGAAATTGTACATAGAATAGACTGTGCTGGAGGTAGTTTCCCCCAACACCACAAATAGTTACAAAACCAAAACATTCACCTGAAAACTCGATTCATGCTCTTACTTAGCCTTGTCTGATTGAAATGTTCATATTGATACCAGAAAATCAACATCCTCCATGAAATGTTCCAAGAAATAGGACTCGAGATAAAACTTTCCAAAACCAAAACTATGATCTGGAATTGGGATGACAGCAGCGACAGCACCTACCCTAAATCCATCCAAAAAAAAAAGATCAGAATATGGAATTAGTAAATACTAAACACTTCAAATAACTCGGTGTATAGATCAATTATAACAAATTTAGTTTAGAAGAAAAGGAAATTGAACAAAGAATAGGCTGCGTCAGAGATACTTCCTTCCAACACTGCAACTTGATACAAAATCAAAACATCATCCTGAAAATTCGAGTCAAAAAAAAAATCTTGGCTGATCCTGACTTTCATATAAGTAAAATGTACGGCGCCAAACTTGTTTAGAAATAACTAAACTCTCAGCTTATTATAAAACCGTCTTCATAAATCAATGGTTAAAATGGCTTTGAGAGAGTGAAGCCTGTAGATCATGGCGAAGGTCATTGTTCTTCGAACAGTGTGTTGTCGCTACAAAAATACAAAGAGCTATTCCAAATAACAGAAACCACATCACTCGAAAACTTTCAATAGTAACAACAACTAAAATGGATAGCACGTCCAACTCGAAGAGAAAATAATGACATAATCAAGATGTTGACATTCCACACAACACCAAACTAAAGGTTAGGAAAGAAACCGCCATCAATACAAGAAAGAGCGATAACAGCTACTGGACTTGATTGAGAAAGGCAATTTTCTTGGAAAATTGCCGTCCTGAGTAAGACGTTAAACTACGTCTGCGTCCTGTGTAAAGACAGATAAATTACGTGTAAAGACGATAAATTACGTCCGCGTCCTGGGTAAAGACGATAAACTACGTCCGCTTCCTGGGTAAAGACGATAAACTACGCAGGAGGTTTTGAGGAGCGTGGAACCACCTCTTAATTGCTCGTGTTTCCAGGTCCACCCTGATCCGGGTTGGTAGCACCTGTTAGGTGTCCCAACTATGGGTAAATAGTTAGCCCCCAAACTGGGGTCAAAACTCTATGGAAGTATAAAAATAGGTTTTAATACCGGAAATAGTTTGTAGAAAATATTTATAACCAGCAATACATTTTTGATAAATACAAAAAAAAAAGATATTACCAGAAATAATTTTTTTGTCGGCATTAAATAACACATTGAGGTTGATATGCCGTAAAATATACCAAACCAAACCAAACCAAACTAAACTAGGAAAATTGCATTAATATAAAGATTTCAGAAATTTGAATCCTCATTTTGCACTGGTTGGTCAATCAATGGAAGCTAAATGTTTTCTTATAAGGAAATCGCTAATATTACGAAAAAAATAAAGTCTTCATGGACTTGTGTTAAGAATGCAAAATTGAGATCTGGTAAACGATCAACATTGAATATCCTGAATACAGAATTCTGTCTTTCTGCCAACATAAATCCCCCCCCAACCCGATTGACAATTCAGTTGAGGAAAATAAAATTCTGAAGTATTTTACGGTTTGTTTTATGTTCCAATCGACCAAATCTATTAAGGCTTTAAAACGCGCTGAGGTACAAAGAATTTTATTTCAGATATTCTTTTTTGCAACGTTATCATTTAATGTATTCTTGTCCAAAAGAGTCTTGTCTCAATCATCCGCCAGTTTTCACGAGTTATCTCCCTTTCTGTCTACTCCAGCAATTTTTAAATGTTTTTATAGGTTCTTGA